CTGACTCAGCTAGTGTTTCTATATATGTCCGTTAGTAGATTGATCACTCTCCTTTTAATCGTACATATTGTGTGTTAATCTCAGTTGCTTATCCTAGATAGTGCATCGTGGGCGGACTGTAGGTTGACTCCGCGAAAAGCTCGTTAATCTTGGATTGTCGTAATTTCTAACTGTAACGAAAACAATAAAACGGTCATCTTGATGAATGCTACAAGAGATATCACAATGGACCTGTTTTATTATTGATCGTTTCGCTCAACGCTTACTCAACGACAAATTTTGCAAATGTATTTTATATTTTCACCAGCCGGCAAAAGTTGTTTTGTTGTTTGCTAGATAAATATTATTAGGTTGGTAAGTTTGACGGATCTTGCTAACTCTAAAAGATAGATATATTTAACGGACATTGTTTTTAATGACAACAAAGAGGAATAATTTTTCATACATATTTTTTTGTTTTTTTTTTAACCGTTTACGCTGTGCGGAAGCCATCAAAGGTGATTTTCTTCGTTTATTCCCTAACATTCCATTGTATCTTCGTTCTTTTTGATCACAGTTTGATACAATATAACCTCCTTATTCAATAAATGGTTTATCTAATACAAACTGTATCATTCGAACTAGTAGTATTTGAGATAAGCCTGTTCAAACAAACAAACTCTTCAGCTTTATAATATTAGTATAGATTACTGAAAAACTTACTTTACTTATTGTATAATTAATTAGACTTTAAAAGATCGAGATCGATTAATTCGTTCTGCTACTATCTAAATCAAACAAAAATAATAATACTCGTACTGGCAAACGTTTTTGTTGTAAAATTAGATAAAGACTTTCTCTTGTCCGTTTGTGATCTGAAATTAGTTTTAATTGGTGTGATGTAAAACACAATACGTGTAGAGACAACTTTTGACTTTGACACGAACACCAAACAACACTACAAATGAGTGAATACAATACTAAATGAAATCTAAAACCCAGAAACGCAAATGGACGTAGATATAAATAGTAAATATACACTTTTACGAGATGATGCATCTAATTTACGCTTATAAACCAATTTATAACCCAATTTCTGGGACATTATGTGTTTATGGGTGACATTCGTTATATGTGGAACGGTGCCAGATGCGGTTCTTAGTATTCTTCGCTTTATTAGGGTTTTCCACACTAGCCTGGTGCTATTTAAAAATATTGGCTCGGCACAGGCGTCGCTCAGTCTGTTAAAATCGTGTTAAAAGCGCTGTTTTAATTAAAATATGTGTAACGTGAACGCAAAATATGTAAGTAAAATTGTTTTTGATTTCTTTGAATAAAACACTTTTAACGGTCTTAAACAATTTTTAACTAGCCCTCGTTTCGGATGTTTGCAGCAGCCGTGGTCACGGGGGGCCCGTCGTTCTTGCAAGTTAATCTTAAAAGATAGACATATAGTGTCACGGACTTTTTTTTAGATCATTTAAAGAGGAATCATTCTTTCATACATATTTTTAAATTCGATCCCGTAGTGCCTGAGATTCAAACTAACAAAAAACTCTTCATTTTTGTATATTAGTATAGATTGGCGTTTAATGTATTTTATTATTTATTGATAGGTTTAAAATTGTGTGTTTTGTTTGGTCTAAAATTAAGATATTTTTTTTCATCCATATGTATAATTCAGTTATAAATGTAATAACCCCGAGAAATAATGTCTGTGAAAACAAAGGCTTGTCAGTGGCCTATTTATAATGACAACAAGAAATTTCGAGACGTGTCATCATAGCACCATATCGTGTTCACAGTATTTTAGTCCTATATTGCGACCATATGCAAGATATAATCTACGATTCCTAGATCAGATACTAATATCTGGGTTCTAGCCTTGAACAGTCGATCGTGCGCCACAAACCACAATGTCCATTCAAACGTTTTATTGAAGACTGGTTTAAAATTTGGCTTACTCCACTTCAATTTTTTTTTTTTATTTGTTTTAATTTGCATTTAGCTCGTAATTTCTGGTCTGTGAAAGAATTAGTAATATATAGGCACTTCAAATTTTTCATATATGTATATTTACTGTTATTAGAAAAATGAACTTTTTATAAGAACCTTATTATTAGAAAAAGACGCTGTTGTCCTGAATTTGATACCCGCTTTCTTATTATTTTATTCATATGTTTTTTAGAGAGTATATTCTTACTCTTTACCTAATTGTAAGAAAAACAAAACTAACCTAATAAAACGTATATTGTATGTGCATTCGAGCTTAAAGGTTTGTACAATAATTAAACATATAAGAGACAAAGTGACCAAACACGAACATATCTCACCATAAAAATATTTATTAAAATGTCATACAAAAGCCTTAAATAGTCGATGTATTCTAAAGATAATCACTAAAGTATTACCACATTAAACATACGGAACCGCACGGCTCCAATATTTCCTTGGTATGTTAATTAGTGAGAATTTTTGTATCGCAAAGTAGTACTCTCATATATTATTATTTAAAACAGTAAACACTGGAGGTGAATATTATAGACCTGTCTACCACGACATCTGTCGGGATGCATCGAGATTTTACTATTCCCGCCCGCCCAGCCGCCCGCCGAAACATTATAATATATGTATGTGTGTTTTAGTTAATGTTAATTATAACAGATGTCGCCACTACTATCGTAATATTATAATGTCAAGTATTAATGTTAATTACCTATACTAAATGGTCTTAGTTAAATATTAGATTGGCATATTTTATGTTAAAATGCTCAAAAAATCTATTTTTTCTTATGAAGTAACTTTATCCCTTTCAAGTGGTAATATTGTATGAAATCTTAATTTTATGGCTATTAATTGATAAATTAGTTTTAATTGAAAATAATTAATGAATGTTTCAGATATTTTCTTTGTTTGTTAAATACTTTTGTGTAACGGGCAAAATAATCCTGTTTTATTAAAAAAACGTTGAAATTAAATTATGATAAGTAATTTATAGCGTTACAAAACACGAGAAAATAAGAACTCCGTATCAAGTATCTTAAAGCAAGCGCAACAGTAAAATTTCATGAAAATATCCTCCTATAATGCGGCACTTAAATTTTTGTTTCGCCGGCTTTAAAATTTAATATCATTTTATGCCTTAGTAGTCGGCATTGTGTGAAGATCAAAGGGAAGCAGCGGATGACGCGTGTGTAATCGGATAACCTCTTTTTGTGAAATCTCCGTGGTTTTGCACTTAATAGCTGTTCTGAATTTAAATAATGAGATGAATTTTTCATTCGTGTAAGAAAACTTGCTGGCATTAAAAATTTAATTTGACGAATTATACATGCTCGTACATCCTCTACATATTTGTGGATCGTTATTTTAATAAAACTTACAATTATAATAGTTTTTGTATCAGAAGTGATGACTACATTTTTATATGAGTTGTAATAATTTTATTTGCTTAACGACGCAGGAAATATGAAAGAAATATGTACCTAACATTTGGGGCTAATTCTTAATTCTAATTCTTTTCGTGGATATTCTAACGAATTAAGAATACGTTATACATTGTTAATAATTTGGATAATTAAAAAAGTCAGTTTTATATTGCTTCTTATATTATATCATTGTTTATGAAAAACAAATTTTAGTGAGTGATAAGCACGATATACTTTTGTTAACTAAATATTCCTTAAAAAATTGTGTAAAATTTTCAGGGCCATCGTTCAATATACCAAGAATTAATTTTCTAGCACTCGAGGAGCTATCATCTGATGATGCCGTCCGCTCGTGATGGCGAAACGTCGAGAACCTCTTCTCGCTGGTTCCAAATTCTTTGAAATTGAACATGGCCACAAGATAATGAGTTCCGTTTATGCATTCCTGCAAAACTGAATATGAAATGATGTTTGCAGGAAAATCAGATTGGATCGCTTAATTAAACGCGAGATTCGGACAGTGACGAAGTGTGTCATACGTACTTTGTCGAATGTGAAATTGAACGAGGACATTTGTGTATTTGTTGGGCTAATTTTCATTTCATCTTTATTTCATGCTGAAGTAAAATCACTGTGTAGTTTCTTTATTACCCACTTTTGAATTGACTTACCTCCATAATAGTGAACTTTAGAATAATTAAGAACGGCACTGAATAAAATCGAAAATAAATTGAACAAAATTTCAAAAGTACAGCATTGTTTTTAATTCTACATAAATTAGTAATTTGGTGTTTTAAATAACAAAAATATATATGGACATTTAAATTATATTATGGCGTTCAGCTTCAAGTAAATTGTTTTGATTACTAATTTAAATAAAACATTTTAATGGTTTAAAACGCGAAACACATTGTTAGTTAAACTTATTATTATTATTTTTTAATTACGATCCATCGTCGTTTAAAATCGTTAGAAGTGTTTTATTTAAATGTGTACTACTCGCGTAAACTACAGAAAACAGTTTAAATTACTAAATTCGAAGTTTGATCTGTAAATGTTATGCCTCGAAATACTAATTTTTTAAACACAATTTAATCTTTCTATCATTTATTATTATTATGCAGTTATTGCAGAATTCAGATAATCTTTTTGCTACAAATTTGTTTCTGTTCTTCTTCTCTTGACTTTTTTGAGTTAATTATATATTTTTTATTTGTTAACTTTATTTCATATTACATTAACAACAAAAGGCCAAGGCATGCAATGTAACTTAATGATACAAGTAACACAAAATTATTATAAAAACACACAACACATACTCATCTAATAGGATACATTTTATATATAAGAGTTTTCCCCTATTAATCCCCTGTTAATCTCTTGACAGAATTTTGCGTGATCGTAAAATAGTCTTTATATGGCGGTAGAAAGAATCTATATAAGGATTATTCATTTTTTGCCTCTTTTTTATCTCTCTTTATTAAATAAAATCGACGATTATTTCTCCTTCCTCTACCAGGAAAAGTAACCCAAGGTTTTGTTACAGGGGTGCCCGTAGGCGCACGCAGTATGCGCGGTGTCACGTGATCACAAATGGCGACGGACGCGCGTTCGCGATCTCCGCAAGATGGCGTCCGAAGGAGACGCGACTTCAACAGGTCCCCTGTATATACCTTTTTTATTTCACCATAATATAGATTAACACCTTTTCTTTTATTATCAATTACCTTAACCAACGAGTATATTTTAATATATATGATTATGTTGTGCTAAGTGAATTATAGATAGATTTACAATTCTTCTTTACACACTTTTGTAAAAGTTCCAATCGTCTATCGTAATTGCTGTTGCCAACATCCGTAATCTAAATCCAATCAAAACAATGTTTGGGAGACAAAGAAAAATGTAATGTATCTTACAAAGACGTTTGTGTATTTGTTGAAGTAAAATATAAATATTTTTTATTTATGTCTGAATCGCAGTTCAAATCGCTAAATAGCTCATGAGTCAGTGCATCAAGAATACATACTTCAATCTTAATGATATTTCACGTGTAGGCAGCACGGAGGTGTAAGCGATTCAGTGTTTGTACTTTAATATAAACAATTTGTCTTCCCTTTGAATAACGTTTTCGACTAATAAATTAGTTTTTGTCCTTTGAAACAAGATAGTGAGATGTAAACATTGGTACGAGGTCGACCTATTGCCAAATTGCCAACGTCCAACTATTTATATTCGAGCGTCTTCCGTCTGTCTGTCTGCCACCTGCCGTTGCCGCTGATCACTCATATCTTGCACTTCGTCGCAAATATCTCAGTTCATACACGTCCGTTGCGAAACTCTCGCTCCATCTCTTCAGCCGCCCTACAAAGACGATGCAGATGGGAAACGTCCACTCCGTTTTAACTCTGGAGTGGGTCGCGGGGAATCCTCCCGGAATTCAGCAACGTATTGCGGTGGAAGTTTGTCCGCTCTAAATCCGTCACTCGCCGTTCGACCGCTCGGCGGGTTGCACGTTCTCGCTAAATATATCTGCGTTTGCGCAGGTCGCCGTACGTGACGCTGGGCGCGGTGCGCTACACGGTTCGGCGTGCCCCTCCGCCTCGCGCCTGCCCTTGCCGCTGCTGCTCAGAAGAGGCGGTGGCGGCGTGCCTCGGCCGCTCCAAGCCGGACCGCCGCACACTGGAGCGTCTCCAGCGTCGCTTGGGCCGCGGATCGCGTGATGAGCGGCCCTCGCGCCAACAACGCCTGAAGGATTTCACCGAGCGGCTGATGCCCCGGGCCAACTCAGCGCAAGTTCAGCCCCCGCCTCCGCCACCGCCGCCGCCGCCACCGCCTCCACACACCGCCCCAATCCTGCCACCTGTTCCTCCACCGCGTTCGCGTCATAGACATAGTCCTCCCCGCGGGGTTTCCGTGGACCGTTGTGATGATTTTGATGCAGACAAAATTACACTTATACGCGTAGAGCCAAGGTCCATAGTCGGTTCATACGCTCAGAAGACTATACCTTACCGCAGTGCTTCGTTCTCCCAAGGAGACTTTGTGCAAGACAAGTATTATCGCGGTAAACAGCCGTCGATATTCGATTTTGGGAAACGTGTTCCTAAGACTGTTGTCGATAGTGCGTCGCTTCGTAATAATTCCGCGAGTGTAACTGAGGAAAATGAGACTGAGGGAGGATCGGTTGCGTCGGTCGATTCCGCTGTAGGTTCGGACGAAGGCCTACTTGCGCATGCGTTGCCCGTTGCGCGATCTCCGCCTCCCGACGCTTTGCATAAACAATTGGGTGCTCGATCGTTGACGCACCCGTTGCCGCGACGTGTGCCTCCAGTGCGCGAGGAGGATTCGACTGACGCTGGTGGCAGTTTACCTGCGTTAATGCCCCCGCGTGTTTTGCACGAACTTCGCGAAGAAAGTGACGGTTCACAAGCGGATAGTGCGCAGGCGCACAGCGAAGGGACCTCGCCCTTAGAACCCTCTCAACCTTTCGCATTCCCGCCTCTTCCCGCTCCTCCTCCGAATGCGTGTGCGAATGTCGACTGTGAGTGTTCTAATATACAACAAAGCCGTAAAGAGTCAGCGGGTGACTTAGATAGTTCGATTCCTATTCCCATACCCGTGTATGAGTGTATAGTGAAACAGTGGTCTAAGGACGTTCCTACAGATGAACAGCAGCGTTCTGACGCCGCGTCAGATGGATCTTTAGATAGGGACAAGGAAGATGAAACGATAACGAGTGAACAAGTTGCGCATTTGCTAGCGGCCGTACAGAATCCTTGCACACCTGCCCCAATTGGTGCTCGAGAGAGGCGGAGACCTTTAGACAAAACGAAGAGGAGAAAAGGCATTTACATAACGACAGCTAGCGATGATGGTGGTGATGACCCGCCTCCGCCTGTGAATGGATGCAATAGAGAGAGCAGTGACGCCTCTTTGCAAGATATGCGATTGTCCGCCGAAACGAGAACTTCGTCTCTACTTGGTGATAAATCTGACGATTCTTGTACCAACGGGCCTCCTAGCCCCAGCGATTGCACGATGCCGATGTGGCCAAAAACAGAAGATACGCTGAGGGCTAGACGTGCTAGATTTTCGCAACAAAGTTCAGATGAGAGGGAGGAGGAAGTTTATAAGGCGCGACGGAAATACGGCGTCACCTCGCGTGGTGATTCGCCCTCAGAGGCGGAGAGTGATACATGCTCTCGTGATAGAACAGCATCTCCCTCTCCTTACAGTCCGTCTGATACGTCTGACGTAGAAGCAAAACGACAGCAATTAACACGACCTTTTGGTAGGAATTTGGCACCGACATGTAGATCCGTGGAAGTAGGAAGAAGGAGCTTTTCTGATGCCACTGTGCCTTGTAGAAAAACTAGCGCTGGTGCTGCCCCAATATCGGAACCAAGACCGAGAGGGCACACACATGTCAGAGCTACATCGTCACCATCGAAATTGGCGGGAGTCAAACCGGGAACAGACTTGTTGGCGGAGCTTTTGCGAGGAAGCTCGGAAGCACTATCAAACTCTTCAACCTTCGACAACGTGATTTTGACTCTACATCAACACAACGTAAGTAATTTTTCTCCTTCTCTAAATATTTACAAAAGAAACGATATGTTTGAACTCTGAATACATTATGTCTAAACATAAAATTACAACTGCAAAATATGCGGGACGCGACTTTTCGTATTTCTTAGACAATCCAGAATATAAGAATTTCGTAACGTACATACGCAAATAGAATTACCTAAATGCAGTTGTATATATGCCAAATTTACGCGGATGTACTCAGTAGTATATTTCGCTCGTCATTGAGATTCGTTTTAAAGCGAATAATTTTGGTTACGGTTCCTCTTAATCCACGATCGTATTCAGGGTCGGGTGCGGATTCGAGTTTTCAAACGCTCGCCCAATGCCGCGTGACTCACGCGACTGGCAACACCTGTTCCAAAAAACAGTAAAAATCTTAAGGACAGCACATTTATAAACTTCGTCGCGTATAAATTGTCGTAAATCAGAAATTTACTTAAACTTTTGGTGGTAGACACTTAACATGAAGTGATTGAAATATTAAGGTCGTCTCAATACATAAATTACCTATGCATTTCACTGATTAATTGAAAATATAATTCCGCCCGACGTTAAACATAAATTATTGCCATGCCTTATCCGTTTTTCTTATTTATAAACCAGTTTTTCGAACCTCTAGGACGTCGATATGTTGAATTCTTTCCTTTTAAGGTCGCTATTATTTATTTACATTAAACATTACCTGTGGCGACTTCTTTTTATCTGTGTACGTTCCAAAATCTTTTTAATTAATTAGCTGGCATGAAGTAACTCGCGCGAACTCTTTTAATAAACCGCGAAGGTCATTTAGTATAATTGACCTTGCAAGGGATAAATTAGGTCAAAGTATAAATTAACCTAGAAAAAAAAAACATTACTAGAATGTAAGCGTGTTTACAATATTATATATCATATACACGTTCGTGAAATAAATATGTGTCGTGTTTAATGTGAAATAATTCTCTGTTAACGAGGCTTATAATGTGGCAAAGGTTTATTTTGAGGGATAAGGAAACAGACTTATGGTACAAGTACGAAGGAGCCTTACATTATTTCCTTACGTGGTGTAAGGATTTTTTTTATTGTTTTTTTGTTAAAGACTCCTATAGAAGTCTCCTACAAACAGTACGCGGAAGTATTTTAAGGGGAAAATAATAATATTTTTAGATATTGATCTATTTAATACTGATTCACGGTGTTTACGATTTTTTAAAAGCTCAAACTGTGTGTTTAGAATTATTTGGAATACAACACGTTCTCCATAAATATATCACAGATTAAAACAGATAAATTACAGTCGTATAAATCAAATCAAAACATTGCGTTTCGCTAATTTTCAACATTTCTCGCTCTCGGCGACATTTCTAATTATTTTAATGGCGCCAAAATTAAAAAGGAAGATGGCGGCGTTCGCTCCTTGGCGCGAAACGGAACGATTAATTTTTATCGAGCGCTTCTAACGAAAATAAACATTCGCGAATTATTAATAAACTTCAATAATATTGAAAATAATTTATCCGGCGTTCGGTTTGTTTTTCTAATGTTTATGAGGTTTTCGTCAAAAAATCAATTTAAGTAAAATTTAGATTGCAATATTATATCTTAGATGCATTCTTTTACTTATTTTTATCTTAACGCCTTTGATTTATTGATTTAAGTGCCTCACTTAAATCAAGAAAACCTAAGCCATAACATAACATTAAGCCGATCGATTAGTATTGTTAGGCATAATCGTGATATAAACAATAAAATCCCGTTTTCCCCGGAAGGACATGGGGCGAACACATTTCTGTCACCGTTTACTATTCGGTTCTTTAACAGGTAAGTAGTTGATCAGACTCCTGTGCCCTGCCCGAGCAAAACAATTAATTCTTTCCCCGGGATACAAAACCAGAACCTCTCGCGCTTAATGCAATAATTGACAACACGTTTAACCATTTAGTTACAGGCGGTCAATATTGATACATATTTTATATATATAGTATCAATATGCGTTTTGCGGCGTCTCCTTTGTGATGTAACCTAGAAACAAACTTAGACGAACGAACTCAGTACACCGCCACTGACCTATTTCCGTGGTGAGTCATAACTCTTGGATTTCGGTGCATAGATTTCTGATAACTGAATATCAGTAATTAAATTGTCAGTTATCGATAAACGCAATCGCAGAAGCTTTGGCCTTAAGTGGCGCCAAGCTTTATGTACGTTTAAAATAAACACTATACTTTAGTTTATAGAGTTGTTTTGCTTCTAAATATGCAATTTTATAAGTTAACTATCTGTTTTTGATTTAAGTTTGGAATTATTGTGATAAGAACAGATGCATTTCTTCGTACATCAAATAAACTCAATATCTAAACTTTTCTGTTATAAAAAGTGGTATAAGATGGTCTGCTAAAATAATTTCAGGCGGAGTCAATTTATATTAATAGATCTTTTAAAAATCTTGAATTAGATCATTTTTCAACTGTTTTCAATATATGTATGTTCTAATGAAGTTGTATTTTCCCACGATATCTGAAAGAAACGAACGGACATAAAACAAATTCAATTGAAGATATATTGACTATAAAACAAATGAACGTCAAAGTTATTGAAACAAAGGTTATATATAAACTGCTTGTAAAAGTCGAATAAAATCTCGAACAAAATAATTGTAAAACTTAAAAGTGTTTACATGTTACATAGCCATAAATGGTGTAATATGAAATGGGCGATCAGAAATGCAACCTTTTGCATAAATGAGCTTTAACAATTTATAAGATTTCAAGAATTTGCATACTAAATGACGCTCCGAGGCCTTCGGCACAAATGGCAAAGAGGTCGTACTTTGGATTATACAATACTGATAACATTTATGGGAACAAATACGTATACATGTGATATACTTAAAAAATGTAAACCTGGGATTTCGTAGAAAGAGTGATCGACTTTATAACGAATACAAAAATGACTGGAATTGATACATTATTAGTAAAAATGGACTACCCTAACACTGAATGGCTGCAAACAAAAAATATATTAATGTAAGTATTACGTTTCAAACATTTGTATTTTCCAAAAATTAAATTATTAGTCATATTAAATTCATTACCGTCATTATAAAGTAATCATTTGTGTTCTTATTGACGACAAGCGTTTGATAGCCTGAAACATAGTTCAACGGGGTTTTTCCTCAGACAACAAAATTATTTTTATAACCAATTCGTTTTAGGAACAGCACGCGAATCGAGTTCAAATCGTAATTTGTTTTCTTTCACTTACGTAGACGACTTTATACTTTAAAATTGTGACCTATTTCAAGATCTTCAAAAGTTTCGTGAAGCCCACGTTTTTATAGCACCAACTCGTAAAAGTCATAGGTGCGAACTGTGATTGGTGTTTATTGTCGAGATAAATATTTTATTCAATGTTTAATTTTATATCATTAACTTCCTCGAAAGTTATTTGCATATTAGCTAAAATATACATTTCAAACTAAGATCTTCTATAATAATTTCATAAAGTTATACTATTTTTATAAACATAGTGAACTATTTGGTTCATTGGTGGTTGTGTGTTCAACGGTAGCGATGTGTGGCTAGTAATTAAGCATGTTGGACTTCGTCTGGAAATCTGGGTATTAAGTGGTAGGAAAATCGTAAGTCCGTCATGGCCACGAACCGTCGTGTTTAGTAACGTAATCTGTGGACTCACTTGTGCATTTGTATTGCCTAGACATTAATAGTTGCCAGTAAAGAAAATTACTATAACGGACACAGGAAAGAACGGAATACACCTTAGGTTAGAACAATTATTTCATTAATCGTTACTTTTCTATATCTACTTGGGTAAACTCATTATTAAATCTTTTCACAACACACTTTGTTTTAATCCGTCAAGTTTTAGTATGATACGTCTACTTCCATAAATAATCAAACGACAGCTTTCAAGAGAGGCATGTAAAGGAAAACCAGTTACTATTACTAACATTGCTCGATTTTCCAATCACCGACGCTGCCTATCATTGCTGCGTTTTTCATGCAGCGGAAGCAATCTTGGCAACATGCCAGACTGACCGGCCAGTCGCTTTGCTTCGAATTAATCATTACCAAGTGCTGGCTAGTTATGATATTCTATTGCATTTTATTTCTCAATCTCAAATACGATTATTTATTGTTATTATGCAGATGCTTATACGCATATAGAAATCGTACTATCGTGATGTAGTCTTCTGTCTCTGTCGTATTTTCGTTATTGAAAAGAAAATGACAGACCACCACATGCTTGTCTGTCCTCTTCTTTTTTTCCTCCTTCACTTGATAGATAGGTGAAATATCTCAAAATTATAACATCTAAACAAGATGTGTTGTCGACCTACTTTGGCATTGCATATTTAAAAATACACAGAGTGATACCGAAACATGATTAAACTTCAAAACTTTTTCAACTGGCCGGTGGTTCGTGACCCGAACGCAATTTTTAACGGGAAGGGCGGGCTCCTACTTCCAAAATCCTGGTCTTACCACTAGACCAACGGGATTTATCAAGAAGATTGATTTATTTGTTAATTTACTTATAGGCAGTACTACAATTTAGGATTTCATCTTGACAGTAAAAATAAAGCTTTCTCCAAAGCCACATTAAATACCTACTGATAGATTGATGGCATTAGGTCGGGACTGAATTATTTATAGTCTTTAGGCTATATCAACTGAAACATAGTGTTTATGATGCAAGAAGACAAAAAGAAAAGAAAGAAGGAGAAGCATGGGGCTCCCTTGGTGAAATTATAATTATTGAAATTATATATAAGTTACTTAGTGAAATTATATATAAGTAACTTAGTGAAATTATATATAAGTGATTATAATTTACCAATTTTTATTGAATGGTTATATTCTTACTTTGCATAGTTTTCAAAATTGAACTAAAGCCTAAAGCCCTAAGTTCCCCGTGACCACGACTACTGCAACACATACAAAACCTCAGGACATAGTTAAAATAAATTGTAAAGAAGT